ACTGCCAGATGGCAGTCAAGACTGCATGCAAGCCCCATGCCATAGGTTCAGTGCCAGCCTTTAGCAGTTCAGTCACATGTACCTGCAGCTTTTCCAATCCAGCTTCGAAATAGCCATCCTAACCTCAATTAGGGTATGAGGTTCTTCGCTGATGGGTAGGTCCGGGACAGGTATTGCGATACCACTTGCATCCAAGCTTGCTGTTGGAGGGTCTACCTGGTATATTTGCTCAAAATAATCAGCCCAACATTCACGAACCCCAACATGATCTAAGATGATCTGTCCGTCCACTGAACGGACTGCAGTCATCTGCGAGGAAGGATTAGAGTTTAGCTTTCTCAGGGGGAAAGTCATTTACCAAGAAATAGCCTTCAACCTCCTTAGCAGGATTCCTGATAAACTATTCCTTGTCCCTTCTCTGCAGTCTCAGCCCTACGCACCAAAGAGCAATGGAAGTCCTGATTGCCATTCAGCCGAACCTTGTGACACGCTTCAATGGCCTCCAGTGTCTCCAGGGAGATGAAATTCTGCCTTGCACTCGGGCATACACCAATGGAATCCTGCGCTGCTTCCAGTTTTATTGCACCTAAAGGATTCCCACAGAGCATCTGGGTCTGTCAGGTTTTCAAGGTCTGTGAATCGATCAGAGACTGCTGTAGCGAACCCACGGGCACACTCCTCCTCCCTCAGTCTGTTCTTGTGAAACACCCTAGAGTGGCCACTGGATGGACGAGGAGTTTTAAAGTGGACCCGTAGGGTAGCCACTACCAGCCTATGGTCAGTGTCGGTGATGGAGATGGATATGGCTAATCCCTGGAGGTGATGACCATCGCTACGGCCCGACCAGTAGTAGGTGTACCCACCCATACTGATCGTGCAGCAGCCACATCTTCTGACTTCCAAGAGGGTAGCCACCTCAACTCCCAACCACTCCCTACCCGGATAGCTCGCCTGAGGTTAAGCCGACGCAGCTCCAAATAAAAGGGCTGGAATATATATATATATATATATATATATATATATATATATATATATATATATATGTATGTATATATGTATGTTTATATACATACTTATATACATATATACATATGTATATATATGTATACATATGTATATACATATACATGTATTTATGTATATATATGTATACATGTATGTGTGTATATATACACACACATATGTGTGTGTATGTCTTTACATATATTTATATTTGTAATTCTACATCTGCATATGCATATATGTACGAATATGTTTCCATTTATACATATATACATATACATATATAAATACATATGTATATGTATATATACTTAAATAAATACACATGTATATGTATATATACTTATAAATGCATACACATAAATGTATACAAATATTTATACGTGTATGTATATATGTATGCCTGCGCCCTGACTGCTGGCTCGAGCCCGAGAAAATGACATATCGCCTTGAGAAATCAAACGCAGGTGTTGTAGGGGAAGTCGCCGCCGTGGCACAAGTGTCAGCGCGCCAAACCGCGGTTGATTAGGAAGGGCATCCAATCAGGCAAGGGTGACACTGCCATATAACCTCTCAATAGTGAATTGAGAGAGTCCTATGTCCTGCAGTGGAATGAATGGCTGTATAAAAAAAAAATATTATATATATGTATGTGTATATATTCATATGTATTTGTATATACATGTGTGTGTGTGTGCGTGTGTATTTGGATATGTATATATATATCCATTATATATATATATATATATATATATATATATATATATATATATATATATATATATATATATATATATATGTGTGTGTGTGTGTGTATATATGTATATATATCCATATATATGTCTATAAATATAGATATATAGATATATGAATATATAAATATATAGATATATGTAAATATAAATATATTTGTTTATTTATACACACATGTATATATATATATATATATATATATATATATATATATATATATATATATATATATGCGTGTGTATAAATAATACACACACACACACACACACACACACACATATATATGTGTGTGTGTGTATGTGTATGTGTATTATTTATGAATATATATATCTATATCTATCTAACTATATGTCTATATATATACATATATATCTGTCCCTCTCTCTCTATATATATATATACTCACACACACATACACATTCACAATATCTATCAATCTATCTTTATATATATATAAATACACACACACACACATATATATACTTATATATACACATATATATATATATATATATATATATATATATATATATATATATATATATATATATATATAAATCTGTCTATCTATTGTGATATATATAAATAAATAAATAAATATATATATAAATCTGTATATCTATAGTGATATATATATAATATATATATATATATATATATATATATATATATATATATATATATATATATATATTTGTATATATATGTATATATATGTATATATATATATATATATATATATATATATATATATATATATATATATATATATATATGTATGTAAATATATATATATCTGGTTATATGTGTGTGTGTGTGTGTGTGTGTGTGTGTGTGTGTAAATCTGTCGATCTATAGTGATATATATGAATATATATATATATATATATATATATATATATATATATATATATATATATATATATCATAGAACGGTTAATTCATTGCTGAATTGCCGTGGTCCTCCAAGCATCTCTATTTTGTGAGAGTCTACAAATTTCAGCAAACCTCAAGCCACTGATCTCTTTGATATCACTATAGCGTGTTTTGGGTCTACCTTTTTTTCTAGACACAACCGGTTAGAAGATTTTTTTCTAACAAATTGCTGCTCGAAATGTGTCCTACAAATGCCTTTTTTCGCTTATTTACCATTTTCAGCAATCTTTCTTTTGGCCTAATTTTATCCAGCACCCATTCATTGTTTTTTCTCTCTGTCCAACTTACTCTCAGTAAGCGTCTGTAGCATCAGAGCTCAAAAGCCTGAACTCGTTTGTTGTCAGCAGATTTTGTGACCCAGCACTCTGACCCAGATGGCTTTGTCTTTCAATATTGATGTAAGGGATATCATCGCATTTCGTGCAAGAGTCAGCCTTCTTTTAATTTCATTAGAACCATTGTAGTTGTTTGTAAACATTGCACCAAGATAGATAAAGTTATCTAAATTCTCAATGTTGTTACCATTCACTTTGATGTTATCCTTGTTATCTCCATGATTATTTATTATTTTCAATACTTTTGTTTTAGAAGCATTGAGTTGTAAGCCTGCTTGTAAGCTGGATTCATTTATTCTGTTAACTAGTGTTTGGAGTTCCAGCATACTGCCAGCTACCAAAACAACATCATCAGCATATCGCAAGTTTGTTATTGTTCTACCACCAATTTTAATGCTTCCATTAAATCCATCTAGTGCTCTTCTCATTATACCTTCAGAATAAATATTGAAAAGGTGTAGAGATAGAATACACCCTTGTCTCATCCCCTGGCCAATCTCAAACCAGTCTGTAAATCCATGTGTGGTTCTGACTTTTGCTAACTGGTGGCCATATAGGTTTCGGATGAGTTCAACCAATTGCTTGGAGAATCCTATTTCAAGCATTGTTTCCCAAAAAACTTCATGCGAGATCATATCAAATGCTTTTTTTTTTTGTAATCTATGAAGCATAAGAATATATCTTTATTAAAGTCATTATTTTTTTCAATAATCATTTTAAGGTTTAATATCTGATTTCTGGTTCCTCTACCTGGGCGGAACCCAGCTTGTTCCGTACTAATTTCATCCTGGAGTTTCTGTTTCATTCTCTCAGCTATTGTTTTCAGTATTATTTTACTGCAGTGGCTAATGAGAGCTATGGTCCTGTTATTGCTACAGACTTGTGCATCTCCATTTTTTGGGATTGGTACAAAGATGGAATTTATCCAGTCTTCTGGCTACTCTCTTCTTTCCCATATTTCTGTACATAGTTTGTAGAAACAATTGAGAACATTTGTATCTCCTGTTTGAATGAGTTCAATTGGTATTTCATCGAACCCTACCTTTTGCCTTTTTTGATGTCTTTGATTGCCTTTTCTACTTCAGATAATAAGAGTAGTGGTTCAGGATATTGGTCATCACTATTGATATTTAAAATTCTTTGGTTCAGATTATCATTTCTTTTATATAAATCAGAGCAGTATTTTTTCCATCTCTCTTTTACGTCGATTTCTTCACTTAGTATTTTGCTTTGATCGTCTTTTATAGTACCGACTTTTGGTTTGAATTTGTTTGTCAGTTTCTTTACACTTTGATAGAGATCCTTTGTTGAGTTGGTTATCGAATTATTACCTCCGCCAAGGAGGTTATGTTTTTGACGGCGTTGGTTTGTTTGTTAGCAGCCTAGCTCAAAAAGTGCTGGCCGGATTTCATCGAATTTTTGGGGACAAGTCAGAAAGGGACTAACTTAGAACTGATTAAATTTTGGTGACATTCCGAATTACCCTCTGGTTATTATTATTATTAGGTATTATGCCTTTCCAAAGGGCAACCCAGGGTGCAGTTCAACGTCTTACCCAGGACTGATGTGTATATATATATATATATATATATATATATATATATATATATATATGTTTATATATGTACATGTTTATATATATATATATCTGTGTGTGTGTGTGTGTGTGTGTGTGTGTGTGTGTGTGTGTGTGTGTGTGTGTATAGGTATATATATCTATATCTATCGATATGTCTATATATATATCGGTCTCTCTCTCTCTCTATATATATATATACACATACACATATATACATATTGATATATAGATATACATACATATATATATATATATATATATATATATATATATATATATATATATATATGTATATATATATATGCAGATATACACATATACATATATGCAGATATACATATATATATATATATATATATATATATATATATATATATATATATATATATATCCAT